GGATCACAGCCTGAGTTGAATGCAGATGCTCAACCAGTGAGCCACCCAGGCGCCCTCTCTATATATCCTATTGTTTGTTTTTCTGGAGAACCCTAGCTAATACAGACACCCAAAGCATAAGGAACCAAAAGACAAATGGACAAACCGGGCATCACCTAAATTAAAACTTCCAGCTTCAAGGACACCATTAAGAAAATAAAATGAGAACCTATAGAATGGTAGAAAATTTTCATAAATCAGATATGTTTGATAAAGCTTAAACCTGGAACATATCATAGAATTCAATAATAAAAAGCCAACCAATTAAAAGATAGGCAAAGGATCTGAATAGACATTTCTCCAAAAAAGATATATAAATGGGGGTACCTGGGTGGCTCAGTTGGTTAAGCATCTGTCTTTGGCTCAGGTCATGATCTCAAGGTCCTGGGATTGAGCCCCACAGTGGGCTCTCCACTCAGCAGGTAATCTGCTTCTCCTTCTCCCTCTGTCCCCTGCCCACCCCCCATGCTCTCTCTTTCAGATAAATACATAAAATCCTTAGAAAAAAAGATATACAAATGGATGTAAGCAAGTGGAAAGATGCACTTCATCAGTAGCCATCAGAGAAATGCAAGTCAAATCACAATGAGACCACTTCGCACCCAGAACTGCTATAACAAGGATAGTGACAAGTATCATTGAGGATACAGAGAAATCAGAAGCCTATACACTGCTGATGAGCATGTAACATGGGACAACTACTTGGGAAGACAGTCTGGCATTCCCTCAAAAGGTTAAATAAAGCATTTTACCCAGAAATTCCCATCCTGAGTATATATACCCAAGAGAAATGAAAACATACATCCACAAGAAAACTGATACACAACGTTCATAGCAACATTATTCCTAATAGCCCAAACATGGCAACAACCCAAATGCCCACCAGTGGATGAAAGAATGAGCAGACTGGTAAATGCATATAATGGAGTGTCATGCAGCTATTTAAAAGACTGAGGTACAGATTCATGTGGCAACATATACAAATGAAGCTTGACATCATCACAAAAAACGAAAGAAGCCAGACACAAAAGGCCACATATTGTGCCATGGCAATTCCACTTACATGTAATGTCCAGAATAGGCAAATCCAGAGACACAAAAGTAGACTGGAAGTTGCTAGCGGCTAAGGGAATTAGGGGGATGGGAGTGACTTCCAAAGGGCACAGGGTCTCTTTTTGGGATGATGAAAATGTTTTCAAATTGATTGTGGTGATGCTGCATAGCTCTGAATACTAAAAACCACTGAATTGTACACTTCAAATGGGCGAACTATTATTACAATGGTTACTTATTTTTTTTATTTTAAAGATTGTATTTATTTATTTGACAGAGAGAGAGAGAGCACGAGCAGGAGGAGGAGACAGTGGGAGAAGCAGGCCCCCTGCTGAGTAGGGAGCCCAATGCAGGGCTCAATCCCAGGATCCCAGGATCATGACCTGAGCTGAAGGCAGCTGCTTAACCCACTGAGCCACCAAGGCACCCCTACAGTTGTTATTTAAACACACACACACACACACACACACACACACACACACGAAGAAACCCAAGCAAGCAAGCAAACAAGCAAGCAGTTACCTCGGGAGTACAAAGCATGCAGAGCCTTTGCCAAGGGGCCAGCCTTGGTGGAGCAGTGGGATGATTCACATTGAGGACCCTGGCTCTACACGGGGTGCTTCTTAGTAAAGGCTGCCTGTGGGGTCAGGTGTGGCTTGACAAGAAAAGATTCATACCAGCAGTTACCCTTGTGTATATTAAGGGTATCCAAATTTTCTATCAGAATTTCAACTGGATTAAGGATCAAGGATCTGTATGAGAAAACTCCTTCCCTGATCTGTCAAAATGCAACCCTTCTAGATCGTGATGTCCTGGCTGTTCCTGGAACATAGCAAGCACATTCCTCTCTGGGAGCCCACTGCTGTTGCTGCTCTTCTCATTTAGAATGCTTTCAACCCATATTAACATACTAGGATTTTAGCAATCAGGGAAGGACATTGCAAACAGAGGGAACAGCACCAGTGTTGTTGGCAGGAAGGTGAAGAGTAAACAGTGCGCTCATGAGAGAAGATGCCACATGGATCCTGGGGAGGCTGGTGAGCTCACAGGTCCTTAATGCCAGCTCATGGGGTAGGTGATGGAAACCCATAATGAGGCACCAGGACAGTTCCTGAACAGGTGTAAGACATGAAGAGTCACATGCAGCTGCTGTGGTAAAGTTTTTCTGTGGTGTAATTAGAACAGTAAGTCTTACTAAGAAATTATATTCTCAATTCAGGTACAAGATAGGTGATGTAAGTAGCTCACAAAGCATTTTTTTTTTTGTCATTTGTTACCATCTATGCTTCTGATGGTACATCAGCTTCTTCATACAGAACACCCAATCTTTTTTATTTTATTTAAATTCAATCAGTTAACATACAGCATATTATTAGAGAGGTTAAGGTCTGTGATTCATCAGTCTTATAGAACACCCAGTGCTCATTCCATCACGTGCCCTTCTCAATGCCCATCACCCAGTTACCGCATCCCCCCAAATCTTCCCTTTCAGCAACCCAGTTTGTTTCTTATGATTAAGAGTTTCTTATGGTTTGTATCCCTCTTTGATTGCATCTTGTTTTGTTTTTTTCCTCTCAGAAGAGACCATCTAAAGTTCCTTTTCACTGTACTTTTCATCCTGGTCCACATCATGATGAAGCAGACAGGAACGTGGGCAGGGCTGGTGGAGGTAAGTGTGTGTTTCCAGCCAAGCAGTTTTGTCTTAATGATTCCTACCTGCCCACAATCTTAAGTATCGTACCACACAGAGGAATTCTAGAGGAATATGAGGGAGTTTTGAGGGAAAGAAAAGTCACATGTTTGGGATGAAAAGAGAAATGGTTATCTCTGTTTTGCCTGTCCTTGATCTCAGGCTCAGATCTCAATGGCTTTAGTGCCATTTCCTCCATGAAGCCTTTTGTGACTGCTACATAGCTCGCATCTCCCCAAGGTTTTCCCTTACTTAGAAACTCAAGCAGAACACAAGAAACTTTCTTTGAGTTCCCCCATTTCATTTAGAGACAGTACAATGTAAATAAGAGCTCAATCTCTGGAGCCAGGCTGCCTGGGTCGGAATCCCTGCTCCACTACTCATCAATTCTATAACATCGAGTAAGTTAACACTGTGGGCTTTGGTTTTCTTGTAGCCCAGCGGTTTAACGCTGCTGCCTTCAGCCCAGGGTGTGATCCTGGGGACCCGGGATGGAGTCCCATGTCAGGCTCCCTGCATGGAGCCTGCTTCTCCCTCTCCCTGTGTCTCTGCCTCTCATTCTCTCTCTCTCTCTGTCTCTCATGAATAAATAAATAAAATCTTAAAAAAAATAAAAAATAAAAGGACTCACAGGGCCCCTGGGTGGTTCAGTGGTTGAGCGTCTGCCTTTGGCTCAGGTTGTGATCCCGGGGTCCTAGGATTGAGTCCTGTAGCAGAGCTCTGCAGCTTCTCCCTCTATGTCTTTACCTCTCTGTGTCTCTCACGAATAAATAAAGTCTTTAAAAAGTAAATAAATAAAAGGACTCACAGGGTCTATGATTGCTGTGAAGACCACACATGCTGGCAAGGAGATTAGCAGCCAATAAAGATGAGCTCTCGTGATCATGGTACCTCTGGTGTCTCACTCTGTCTCATATTATCCATACAGTCTTCCCGTCTGTATGGGAAGGGGACCAGAGCCCCCTTCCGTGCAGGAACCACGCTTCCCTGTGTCCCCTTCGGGACTCATGGAACTGCCGCTGAGGAGCTCAAGGGGCTGGTGGGAGGAGAAGGGGGGTCCCTCCGGTGATCTGAGAGAGATAAGGAGATGAAGCCAGGGGCTGGGGGTTCTGAACACCTTTGTACTTCACTGCATCATTTACTGTGTACCTGGGGGGCTCCCCTCTCTCCCTCTTTCCTTCTTTCCTGAAGAAAGGGACTAGAAACAGGGGCAGTAATTGTACCTACCATCACAGAATTGTGATGAGTATTGAATTAGGTAACATATAAAACACTTAGACAATGCTTGGCACATAGTAAGTGCTCAGTGGATGTTACTTCCTGCTCTTTTTTTTAAAGATTTGTTTATTTATTTTAGAGGAGAGAGGGAGCCGCAGAGAGTGAAGGAGAAGCAGACTCCCCGCTGAGCATGGAGCCCAACATGGGGCTCCATCCAAGGACCCTGACATCATGACTTGAGCCAAAATCAAGAGTCAGATGCTTAGCCAACTGAGGCATCCCGGTGACCCTCTTTCTTTTCTTGTTTTTAATTAAAGATAGATAGATAGATTGATTGATTTGACAGAGAGAGAGAACATGTGGGGGTGCGGGGCAGAGGAAGAGAATCTCAAGCAGACTCCCCACTGAACGCAGAGCCCAGCACAGGGCTTGATCTCATGACCCTGAGACCATAACCTGAGCTGAAATCAAAAGTCAGTTGCTCAACCAACTGAGCCACCCCAGGCGCCGTTTCCTTTTTCTTAATATTTATTTTTTTCTTAATATTTATTAATTTTCTGATTAAGAAAGCAATGCTTATTTGTGGTAGAAAAGTGTGAAAATGTAGGGGGGAAACTCACCACAGCGAGGGAGTCAGATGAGTAAGAGACAAGGTATAATAAGTGCAAGAAGTACACACAAGATGCAGAGGCGACTCAGTGGAAATGAACACAGTGCAGGTGAAGGACTATTCCTGGAGAGGCTCCATGGAAAAGGTGAGCTCACACATGAGGAGGTTTGCAAAGATGAATAAGAGTTTAGGTGGACAAGGAAGGGAGGACAGTCAGGAAGAAGGAACAGCATATTCAAAGGCACAGAGGCATGAAACAGCATGTGCGCCCCTGTAACTGTAACTGTGGCTCCAGTGTCAAGTATGTGGGAGGGGTAGGGGGAGGGGTTGGGACAAGAGGAGTGCTAGGGAAGTAGGCAGGGCTAGGAAATGAGAAGCCCTGTTTCTCTCTCTCCTTTTTAAAGATTTTTATTTATTCATGAGAGACACAGGGAGAGAGGCAGAGACATAGGCAGAGGGAGAAGCAGGCTCCATGTAGGGAGCCCGATGTGGGATTCGATCCCGGGACTCCAGGATCATGCCCTGAACCAAAGGCAGATGCTTAACCACTGAGCCACCCAGGTGTCCCAAGCCCTGTTTCTCCATAAAGAATTTGGTCACTGGCCTAAGAAATGAAAAGGGGTCATTGGATGGTCTGCGGTGGCATCACACACTTATCATTTTAGAGAGAGAGCTCGTGCAGAGGTACTTCTATAAGGCTGGGCCCAGAGTCTCAGAATGAGTTAAGGACAGCCCAGGCCAACACAGGAGTCAAGGGTGCACAACACAGGATGGGCTACATATCGCCTGACAACTGGAAGAGGTGGTGGGGTCGGGCTGGGGGGGTGGTAGGGAGATGAAGAGAAATAAGGCATCCGGAACAATTCCCAGGTTTCTGGCTTGGTTGATTGCAAAATGGATGATGTCAGCAACCAAAGCAGGAAATACACGAAGAAAAGCATGCTTGTGGAGAAAAACCACTCTGGTGATCAGATTTATCTTTATGTAAGAAATAGTCCTTGTAATTTCTTTTTCTTTTCTTTTCTTTTTTTCTTTTCTTTTCTTTTCTTTCTTTTCTTTTCAGTAAGCTCTACACCCAGGGTAGGGCTTGACCCCAAGATCAAGTCACATGCTCTGCTGAGTCAGCTGGTAGCCCTAGGCCATGGAATTTAAGATCCTCAGTTCTTCATTATTGACATATTTAAAATAGTGCAGGTGACTGAGCTTTCCTTTATCTTTTTGAAGTAGAAAAAATTGAAACTCCATAAACATTTTTTTTTTAAATTTAGGATTTTCTTTTTCACCACCACTCCATGGTTCATACTTCTGTCAGCTGAAATGTTCGGGTAAAACCAACGTTTTCCCTTACTTGGAAACTCATCACATAATACACATTCTCAGAACTGAGTTGGATCTCAAGAATAGGTATGACTTGGGATGGGTGAGGGGCACAAGGAATGAAACCGCCTTTGTTATGACGGATAATGTCCTTGGAAATCTTGCCCATCCCTTTCATCTACAGATGAGAAGCAAAAGCAGAAACTAACCATGGGAGGCAGAAACTTAGAAGGAGGCAGAATTCAGCTCAGATTAACTTCCAGCCATGAGGTATGCTCAACAGAGGAACTGCCAGATTTTCTGCTGCGTAACAATGGGCCTCTCATCCTGAAGAGAATAGATTGCCATCTGTCAGGGATATTGTTGAGTTTCTGCACTGAGCAAGAGGTTGAAGATGGTTTCTAAGGCCCTCTTGGACTCAGACTTTTAAAAAGATTTTATTTACTTATTTGACAGAGAGGGAGCACATGCAGGGGGAGCAGTAGAGGGAGAGGGAAAAGCAGGCTCCCCACTGAGCAGGGAGTCTGACACAGGGCTCAATCCCAGGAGCCCAGGATCATGACCCAAGCTGAAGGGAGACACTTAACTGAGTCACCCAGGTGCCCCTTGGACTCTGATTTTTATTGATTGAATGAATGTGAGGAGCCAGAGCAGAACATGGGAACACCGTGAGTGAAGAAACTCATGGGCGTGAACATAAGGTGTGCATGGCCCCTGTTATCACCTTGCTATTTAATGGGACAGATTCTTTGCTTGACCAAACCAAACTCAGTCCTGAACCTTCTCCTAGACCCATCAGTGCACTTCCTTGTAAAATCTAGCTTTAGAAAGAACCCCAAGAGGTCAGTTTACCAATAGTCCCTCATTTTCCACCATCACCCCAGGGTGGGATCACTCATCTGGGCCCATCTTCAGCAAGAATTGTTAGGTCAGTCTAGCCAAAACCCCTTACCCGTTTTCTTTCCTCTTAGATACATCCACTGACCCCTATCTTGACCCTTGGCTGTAAATTCTCACTTGATCAGCTGTATTGACATGAAACCAGTTCTTTTTAAAGTAGGCTCCATGCTCCATGTGGAGCCCAATGCGGAGCTTAAACTCACAACCCTGAGATCAAAACCTGAGCTGAAATCAAGAGTTGGACACAACCAACTGAGCTACCCAGCTACCCAGCCCTGGGCTGTATAGACACAAGCCCAGGTCTATACAGAGGTCTCTTTTCCTCTACTTCAATAGTACTGAACAAAATATTTTTACTGTCGTTAACTACTGAGCAGCGCTGTTTTTTCACAAATCTGGTTTTCAGATGTGTGAAGAGTAGCAAGCAGTCGGATATGGCTATATAGATGAGCAGAGACCAATTCAAAGAAAGCCTGACTATATGACTAAGGAGTTTGAATTTTATTCTTTCAAAAGATTTTATTTGAGAGAGAGCAAGCAGTGCATGGGGAATCACAGAGGGAGAGGGAAAGCACGCTCTGCTGTGCAGGGAACCTGATGCTGGGTTTGACCCCAGGACCCTGAGATCATGATCTGAGCCAAAGGCACTTAAACAACTGAGCCACCCAAGTACCCCTTGGATTTTATTAAGGGAGAAACCACTGAAGGAGTGACGAGTCAGTGCTTTAGGGAGATTGAGAGAAAAATAGAGACTCCACTAGCAAAGTACTTATCTAACCCAGGGGAGAAGCAATAAGGACCCGAACTCTAGGCTTAGCAGCAATGGAAGCAAAGGAATGACAGAGGTTGCAGAGCTGTAAGGGACAGGGAGGGGGGGATCACCTGGGTGAGGCTTATTCTTAACACATGCCTCCCCACCTCACGTGGGAGCCATCCAGGCCACAAGGTCTAGCCTCCCAAGTAGAGCAACTTAGGGTCTTCCATTTCCTGATCTCATTGTCATGTCTCACCTGGCAAGTTTACAACAGGGTTAATATTAACATCCGCCTCACACACAGGTGGCTGTGAAGATTACATGATTTTAATATCTGAAAACCAGGAGTGCCTGGGTGGCTCAGTTAAGCGCCTGCCTCAGGTTGGGTCATGATCTTGGGGTCGGGTCCTGGGATCAAGCTCCACATCAGGCTCCCTGCTCAGCAGTCTACCCACCCACTGCTTATGCCCATTCTCTCAAATAAATAAAATCTTAAAAAAAAAAAAATCGAAAACCACTTGGAAAAGGGCCAGGTGGAAGATATGTGTCAGCGACTATTATCACCGCTTGGAAATCCCACCTCCCCCATGACCTCAACTCTAACAATCTCTTTCCACTCCATGCCTACTGAACCTGCCCATGCCTCGATGGCGGTCAGATATAGAATGAGAATAACCAAAGAAAAACTCCAAAGGTCTGGACCCTGAGTTTACGGAAATTTTGTGAGGGGGCAGTTTATGAGAAAGATGTATCTGGTTTGAAACATGTAACTTGAAACTTTTAAAGGTCCAAGAGTAAGTGTCCTGCAGTCTGCCAGAGACCCAACATTGGAACTTAGGAGAGACTAGTACCACAGGTGCAGATTTAAAACTTATTTGCATAGATAATAGTTGAGACCACAGGAGTAAGTGGTTCCAAGGACAATGGTAAAGAAAGAGACAAACTGGTATCACAGTCCAACATTAAGGAATACTCAGGGACTGAGAAAAGAGGAATCATCATGGGAAACAGAAATAATCAGGAAAATCAGATGAACGGAATGTTACAGTAGCTTCAAAGATATTTAAAAATAAACATAATTTTCATGCAACGATCCAGATCATTCCCAGGTCTCACAGAGATGCTCTGAAGGAGGGAGTTGTGAGGTCTTTGTGGGGTGACGGGAATTCAGCATGCAGATAGAGAAGTGGTTGATCCTTCATGTGTAGTGACTATTCACCTAATTTTACCTGCTCAGGGGTCTTTTCCAGAGCTCCACAACATGATTGACACACAAGTGGACCTTCAGGCCCACCCCAAGCTATCCTGTCCGAAACCTCTTCTCCTCCAAAACATACAATGGTTTATAAGACCTTGCTCATATCCCTCCAGAAATTTTCTCTATCCCATTAGTTCTTGCTTTACAGTTTAAATTTTAAGGCTCTATCCTCAGAAATTGATAGGTTCAATTTGAGGCTCAGGAGCCTACATTACTAACATGCACCCTAGTGATTCTAATATGGATAATTCATGGCCTATGCTTCAAGAAACAAAGTTCTATTTGTAGGTATGTGGTGAGTGTCAAAGAAGAGCCAAAAAGAACAAGTTTCATTATAGCTTTAAGAAATTAAAAACGTATTAGGTGATCACAATATATGCTCAAAAATTTTTCAGAGGCCAGTTCCAGACACTTCTCTATCTTCTCTGTAAGACTTTCATCTCAGCCTTCTCCATGACTGGAACCTCCTCCCACCAAGAGACCAAAGAAGAAATCTACATATGCCCATTACAACCCAAAATCCAAGTACACGCTTGTCAGAGGCCCCACACCCAATAGTAACAATTTTCTAGTTTTGGTTGCTGGTCTTAAGTATCGTCCGACGTGTGGGTATGAGGTGGGAGTAACTGTGTACATGACCGAAGAGTCTGTGGCAGTATCTAGAGGAATATGATAGAGTCCTGACAGAGAGAGGTCATGTGTTTATGAAAGAAAAATAGTTGTCTGTAAAAAAATCTTAAAGATTAAAATTTAGATTCCAGTTATAGCCATGGTTTCCTATTTTAATTGAAATAGATTTGGCTCCTGCACAAAAACACAATGTCGCCTTCTAAAAAACTATTCTGTTTAATAGTGCACTTCATTTATGCTACAGGATGAGCAGGATTGGGAAAATATAACGAAAGATCATCCCCTCAGCTGGGAAAACTCAGGAGCTCCATCCTAACCCAGCAAGAAGCCCAACAGCCAGGTCAGGTCAGACTCTCTTCCCTGGGCTTTGCTTTTCTTTGCATTCAACTTGGCGGCTGAAGTCAGAGGTGAGGTCATGAGAGGTCAGGGGCTGGGGCCAAATGTCATAGGTGATAGAGGGCAGGGCAAGCGGGCTGAGTGAGCTCCTTAAAAAGCATTCTATTCTTAGTAACTAGGGGTTTGAATTAGATCACTTTTCAACACAGGAGTGGGGAGGGATGCAGAGAAGGGGAGGATAGGAAATAGGCCAATGCTAAATCTTTCTGATCCTCTCCCTGTTAGACTGATTATCAGATGGATTTCCCAATCAGACCTATAACAATAGGGAAGGACAAGTTCTTCAACAAAACTGCTTTGCTGCTCTCAGAGATGGGCTTGCTGCTCCAAGAGCCACCCTCAAAGTACAGTTATCACAGAAAACCTCGTAGGGTCCCCCCGCCAGTAAAATAACAAATCCCTCAGCACCACATTTCCATAATTAATGAAGTCATGAACAACGACAACAACCACAAACAGCACATTCCTTATCAAAACTTAAAGCTGGATTAGGAACAGCGGCTTTGAAATACAGCCCCCGTGTCCTCTTCTTAGCAAGTAGCAGGACTCAGAACATTCTTTGCACTGCCTTCTGTGCAGGCTATACTGATCCCAACTACAGGAATCCTTGGAATTTTATTCCTACTGTGCTTCCACTCCCCCACCTTGGAAAGAAAGGCTCCTCTGGTGTGAGAGAAATGGTCTAGTGCAAACTCCCTTCCAAAACGGAAGGTGACTGGGCCCAGAGCTTCCCTCTTATTCCCAGCACTCAACCTGCCACTTGCCTCCTGGTTTCACTGCTGGGGAAACTGACAGGTAGCTCATCACCAGGATGTGCCAGGATGATTTCCCCAACTTGGCCCATTCTCTAAAGTGAAAAGTGTGAGTCAGAAGGGACACATTCTAAGACGTTCATACTTCTATAGAGTAAGGCAGGAGCTCTTCAGACTCGGAGGAAGTGAGGAAAACAGGTGTGTGGCTATCTCTCAGGTAGACTCTCTGATATTTAATTCAGCAGTGACTCTGAGAGAAGTTTTGCTCATTCCCATTACATTCAAAGGCTTTTCTCCAGTGTGAATTCTCTGATGGCGAACAAGAGCTGAGCTATACCTAAAGGCTTTCCCACACTCACTACATTCATAGGGATTCTCCCCCGTGTGGATTCTTTGATGCTGAATAAGGCCTGAGCTATAGGTAAACTTTCCTCCACATTCCATACATTCATAGGGCTTCTCTCCAGTGTGGATTCTCTGGTGCTGGTAGAGGTGTGAGCTCTGGCTAAAGGCTTTCCCACACTCATTACATTCATAGGGCTTCTCTCCAGTGTGGATTCTCTGGTGATGGATAAGAGTGGAGCTCCTGCTGAAGGCCTTCCCACATTCATTACAAGCATATGGTTTCTCTCCAGTGTGGATTCTCTGATGATGAGTAAGGGTAGAGCTCCAGCTAAAGGTTTTCCCACATTCATTACATTCATAGGGCTTCTCCCCGGTGTGGATCCTCCGATGTAGAATGAGGGCAGAGCTACAACTGAAAGTCTTCCCACAATCGTTACATTCGTAAGGTTTCTCTCCAGTGTGGATTCTCTGATGCTGAATAAGATGTGAGCTCTGGCTGAAGGCCTTCCCACATTCACTACATTCATAGGGTTTCTCCCCAGTGTGGATTCTCTGATGTTGAATAAGGTCTGAAGTTCGATTAAAGCTCTTGCTACATTCATCACACTTATGGGGTCTGTCTCCCACAGGAAGTCTCTGATGTGAAATAAGGTTAGAACTCACAGTCAAGCTATTCCCAAAATCACTGTATTTCTCACTTCTCTCTCCCCCGGGGGTTAGCTTTTCCTCATCTGTCATCTGACCAAAATCTTGTATCTTCCTATCCAATCTTTCTCCAGAGGAATTCCCCAGTTGCCTCTTGAGACTGACATCTTGTTCATAGGCTTCTTCAAACTTAAGACCCTGAGAAATATCCTTTTGGAATCTTCCCAACAGCACCCCACGTGATCCTGTATCTTCAGAAATGTCTTGATCATGCTCAGTCCTGGTCTCACCATCTGGCACAATACAAAATACAAACATCACTTGGAAGAAGGAATCAAAACCAGAGGACAGGATAATTACGAGAAGGATGTTCATGGAGCTAAAAGCACATCAGGCTGGAGATAGCTGAGGCAAGCTGAGAGAACTGTGTTGCAGAAATAATGAAAGAGAAGAGCAAGAAGCAAAATCAAAGTGAAAAGAGCTGGCAGAGATAGAGACAGAGAAGGCTGGAGATGGGAAGAGAGGAAGACAGACCGGGTGGAGGTGTAGAACCAAAATCAGAAGAGAAAGGACATGTGTTTAATGAAGTGACAAAGTCCTCACAGAGATCAGAGACTGGAAATACAAGTGGAGAGATGGTGGCTTCTAGAAGATAGAGGAGAACAAATGTAAGCAAGCAAGCAAGCAGACGGGTGACATTAAACAGCCACAGAGCAAGAAGTGACAAGGAGGAGGCTACAGTGACAACAGCCGCATGTGAAAAGAACACTCACATCCGTAGGCCACACACGCCAAAGCCACGGTAACAAGCAAAAGACAGAGTTCAGTCCACCTCTGGGCCCCAGGCCTTGAAGGCTGGGCCAAGACGTGTGGATACTTAAACCGTCTTCTTGTCCAACTTCCCTATTTTCACTGGTCTGTGGTTTTCGTAGGTAACTTTGGGCAGAGAGGATGAGTGAAGGGGTCTAGACAGCTGGCATTTTTAGTCTATTGATTATTTTAAAAAGTAAAGACAGGGCAATGAGTGTTAGGGACAGAAACAGCTGTTTCTCCCTCCCCTAAAGAGGTACCTCTCAGGACCTCTCTGTTCTGTTTCCTTCAAACTCAGGACCCTTGGCTTTTCTTCTGATTATAGCCCAAAGATTGTGTCAATGTTCAGAAATGGAAATCCTGCCCATGGGCAAAGACATGGGACAAGGTTTATCCTGCTCATACCAAGTGGTCCCAGAGGTCAACTCTAGACCCAGGATTTGCAGGGGCCAGAAAAGGAAATGTCTAGGGAGGATTCAACAGAAGTGAGGGAGACCCCTTAGCACTACAATGAAAATGTCCTGACAATGAGTGACAGACAAGAGATTAACAGTCCATAGACTAAAGGTTAAAGAAACCAGTTGCTCCCTAAAACAAGCTACAATTTCTACTGGAGCCACAGTTGCACTAGGTCCTGAACAAAGCAACAGGTCTCCAAACTGGTACAAAAGAAAAAAGGAGGAGGAGTTCCAGAATGTGCACTCGGGCACAGAGCAGTACCGCACGCATTTAGGGATCCTGGTATGTTCATCTTTTGGAAAAATCTCTGAATTATACATTTAAGAATCACATAGAAAAAAAACACCAGATTTGGAGCTGAAAGACCAGAGCTCAAGTCCTGCTATATGTCCGTACGCAAAGCACTGAACACCTCTGACTTCTCTGTCCTCAGATAGAACACAAGAATACCAGCGACCTCCATTACTGTGTTGCTGCAAGGTTTCCATGACAGAATATACATGAAAGCTCTTTATGAGCTGCCAATTACTATATAAGCAGGAGTTACTGTCATTATTGTTGTTAGAATTTTCTGAGACTACCTTCATCTTTAGGTGATCATTTTGTGACTCAAGTGTCACTAGCAAACAAGGAAACAAAGGAATGCCAAAGGAGTTTTATTGAGAAAGTGTAACTCCTTACCCAGCGAGAACACATTCCCATAATTCTCCAGCATCACATCCCTATAGAGGTCCCTCTGAGCAGGCTCCAAACGCTTCCACTCCTTCCGGATGAAGTACACAGCTACATCCTCAAACGTCACCAACTCCTGAAACAATACAGTCTTGCATGCAATTTCAGGGATGAGACTGGCAGCACCAAAAACAAAACAAAACCAAAGAAAAAAACAAAAAAAAACCCACACCAACAATCTGGGTTTGAGGATGCATATCTAAGAGGTTGAGGAAAGGAGTTTATGGCTGAGGAAGAGAGGGGCCTGTTATTCAGCAGGAAAGGACAATGTTCCTAAAAGAGGGAATCATAGTTTGGGGCAATAAATGGATGTCATGGCACAAATGTTTATATGAAATGGGAAGGAAAGAAGGAAGAAGGGAACCACAGCTCACCTGGGACTTGGCCTTTAGGAGCGCAGCTGCCAACATCTCATCCCCCAGGCTGTCCTTGTCAGAAAAGGCAGGAACTTTCGAGGAAGGAAGAGCTGAAGGACAACAAAAGGGTCTGTGAGCGAACCCATCTACTCTCTGGCCTCCCAATCCACAGAAAACTCATGGTGTCCTAGACCCAACAATCTAGACCCACTGCCTCTTGAGATGAGATGTTCAAAGCTCTGTTGATTCTGCTCTCCACCTGCCCAGGTCCCTTCCTTTCTGTTTAGTCATTGCACTCTCTGGGAAACTGGTCCAGTCCTCCCATTAGTGATCAGTACCTTCTTGTTCTTCCTCTCAAGCTTGGCCAGCAATGCAGACAGTCCTGCTCACACCCCTTCCATCCCTCTCCACATCTCTGAATGCAAACTCAAGCACGAAGGTCTCTTGGGTCGGAGGAAACCAGCAGCCTCACCCAACCCCAAATGAACACCATAATGCTCATTCTCCTTTCTTCTCATCCCCAAACCAAATCTACACACTACAAATGTTTCCTGCTTCTGTGCTTGATCACATCTCTTCTATAATTCTTAAGTTAACATATCTGTCCCTTAGAGACTCTAAACCCCCAGGGACAGAAGATTGTCTGCAATCACTGGACAAAGAGATCATTGAGTGTTTTTTTTCTGATAAGCATGCCCTTTAGGACCGCCATTGGCGCCTAAGTCAGAGGCACAGGTGATGACAGCAAAATACAAATATGATAGTGGCTTCTACTCATTTTATCCTTTTGCCTGTGACCTACAGAGTGCTTGCCCAAGAGCCTAAGTGCATGCCCCTAAAGAACAAACTAGGACTATGAAGGCAGCTGCTACCAAGTGCCTGGAATTCTGTGATCATCACAGTTTTCTTAATCCTGCATGTGGTCCCACTAGCCCTTCACAAACGTCTCAGCTATAAAGCCTACCAAGCTGTACATTCACTATTGGCTTCAGGCAGCTTTCCCACTTAGGCTGTGAGCTACTGAATGGAAAGGACGGTGTCTCAGCCACATCTGGGTTCTAGTAGTTAGCCCAGTTCCTGGTAAGCAAGAGATCCAGCATGACTGCTGAATGCCTGAGTAAAAGAAGAAATGAATCTCTATTTCTTACCACTCTCAAGCAGGGCCTGAGGTTCCTGAGATACGCAATCAGCCTGAGTTTCCATGGGTAGGGCTAGAAGCTCTGGGTCTCTGGTCTACTATCTGCAGACTCAGCACAAAGCAGGTTTTGAATGAAAATGAGGAAGCACTGCAGAAGCAAAGTTCAAGGTTCAATGGTTTTAAAAAAAATACCTCAAGGGAGCCTCCCAGGAGCTAGCTTTTCAGTTAGTACCTAAGATGAACAAAAGGAAATGTAGCAACCAGGATCAGTCTTCCAGATCCTGGTAAATACATCCACTTGCTCCCTGTGATGAGATTCCATGAGCACCACAGAAAGGGCCCCTGTTCCTAGACAATATCCCACCTGTGGCTCCCACAACATACTGAGTGATATAACAACAAAAAACATGGAACGCTGGTGCCAAATAATGATACTAACAATGAATACCAAGCAATGATTGAAAGAAAAAAAAAAAAGAATAAAATGAAAAAAGTATATGCCCATAGATTTGCAAAATGTTTATGTATTGTACCAACTTTATCCATTATCAGCTTGGAATAGTGGATAAAGCTATTTACAGATTTTTATTTTTATTTATTTAGTTATTTTTAAGTAGGCTCCAATGTGGCATGAACTCATGACCTGAGTTGAGATCAAGAGTCAGACACTTCACCAACTGAGCCACCCAGGTGCCCCTGTTTGGATTTTTTTTTTTTTTTTAAACCTCATGAACAGGGGAGCCTGGGTGGCTCAGTCAGTTAAGCATCTGCCTTCCGCCAGAGGTCATGATCCCGAATCCCAGGACCAAGCCCCACACTGGGCTCTCTGCTCAGTGAGGAGTCATCTTCTCCCTCTCCCTCTCTCCCAACTCGTGCAAGCTCTCGCTCTCTCTCAAAATAAACAAAATCTAAAAAAAAAATCTTAAAAACCTCACTCGTAAACACTAGAACTAGTTAAAAAAAAAAAAAACTTTCATTATATTTCTAGTGGTCATATTAAATTTAGGTGTTATTCTTTGAAGAAAAGAGAAAACAGCACCCAAACAGCAGAGAGCAGAGAAACTTTCCATGAGTTCTTGGTCTCTCATTTAAAAAACCCTGAGGAAATGACACCTGATACCCAGAACTAGAGCAAATAGCTCAGATCTACTAATTAAATAAGATAAATCCTTCCTCCTCTTTCTAAGCTGTCTGCTTCTAGTCTCAGGCAATGGCAGGATGTTACTGAGGGACGGGGGCCCCTTCTGTGGTCCTCGTACAATGTAAAATTGCAGGGAGGCGTATGTACTCACCAGATCTAGAGGCCTGGCCCCTATGACCGAGAAGGTAGCAGCCAGCCTTCTTTCTACCTTCCTTTTCTCCTAATACATTTCCTTGGATCAGAATATAAGACCCTGAAACAGAGACCAACACTTCTTTTTTTTAAAAGATAAAATTATGGGGACACCTGGGTGGCTCTGCAGTTGAGTGTCTGCCTTTGGCTCAGGGTGTAATCGGGGTCTGGGGATCGAGTCCCACATCAGGCTCCCAGCAGGGAGCCTGCTTCTCTCTCTGCCTGTATCTCTGCCTCTCTCTTCTGTCTCTCATGAATAAACAAATAAATCTTTAAAAAAATATGTAAGATTACCTATTACTTCATTTTTATCCATACTGACAACCCCACTTCCCAGATGCTATGATAATCAAAAGAGGTCTGTTCTCTGCAGCTCTAGTGAATAAAATATATAATATATAAAATAAAATATAACGTCAGTTTCTAGACGGAGGTTTGGATCTCAAGGAGAAGTTTTTACTTCATACTTGAATGCTGTGACAACAATCAACAGACCAAGAACAGGCATAGCACCCACCAGAGCTTTCCTACCTTTAGGCAAGAGCAAAGACAAAAAACCCTGGATTTTGTCTACCTCCCTCTTCATTTATGTGCTCATATAACAAACAACTGTTGAGTGTCTCTACATTGCAAGGCGCTGCTGGAAAGAATCCGAAAGATATTTGCTTCATCATTATAGACTGCTGCATTCACATAAAGCATAAAAAGGGGAGGGGCCCTGAGAGTTGCTCAGAGTTCACAGAACTCTAGTGTTTGGGCAACAAGGCGGTACAGAATGCCTACCACCAATGCCTTTACACAGAGAAAGGCACTGAATGAGACAGGAGTCAGGTCCCATGGCAATCAAGGTTGCCACCAGCGCCCTCCTTGCTGGGTCCCTTCCACTTTGTCTCAGAGCCAGCCAACTTTTGTTCTTATCAACCAATTGCACAATTTCCAGGACTGTTTATAAGCAGACACCTCCAACAAATCAGCCCTTAGTTCAAATTCTCTTTAGAAAGTAAAATCAGAGGCTCTGACTCCAGTGAAAAGAAGCACGCCTCCCTCCTCACAGCTCAGTTAACCCAAGCTAGAACTCAAAGGCATATTGTTGAGAACAAGTCCCCAGTGTCTGGATCAGCACACAATGTTTCTCAGAGAAAGAAAAATCTCCATTATGCCCCCACAACTTCTGGTCCAGGCAGGGCTCTTCCCTGCTCTGCTGCCAACACCTCTCCCTGAAGCTGCTCCCAGGGACTGACAATGATGACCTGGCAGTGAGAACGAGTCACGGAAAGCTTTACCTGCTGGAATCTCTCCTTCCTTTTTTTGGAGTTAGGTCCCAGAAGACCAGAGAAGCAATTATTAGGAATTTTGAAGCCTCTGTTCAAGTTCCTGGGAATTCTAAGTTAAGCTAATGCCAGTGCTGTATGATGAAGGAAGTGGAAAAAAAAAAAAAAGAATTAAAAATATTCACGTAAACTTCATCTACTCAGATAAAAGGAAAAAAAAAGAGAACATATAATAATCAGCACAATTGGTCTATATATACAATGAAGTATTACTCAGCCATTAGAAACGACTAATACCCACCATTTGCTCCAACGTGGATGGAACTGGAGGGTATTATGCTGAGTGAAGTAAGTCAATCGGAGAAGGACAAACATTATGTGGTTTCACTCATACGGGGAATATATAAAATAGTGAAAGGGATTATAGAGGAAAGGAGAGAAAATGAGTAGGAAAAATCAGAGAGGTTGACAGAACATGAGCGACTCCTAACTCTGGGAAACGAATAAGGGGTAGTGGAAAGGGAGGTGGGTGAGGGGATGGGGTGACTGGGTGAGGGGCACTGAGGGAGGCACTTGACCGGATGAGCACTGGGTGTTATGCTGTATGTTGGTAAACTGAACTCCAATAAAAATACACACACACACACACACACACACACACAAATAATCAGCACAATTAAGACACAATTGGTTATCTGTGTTGCACCCCTGGAGATGTGAAAGGCAACTGAACCTCCTCCAGTTCAACTGTCCACCCAAGTCTAAGAAATGCCTTCTCGGGTTTCCAATATTCTGATGGTTAACTAGCAAGAGACCCTCAACTTCAGCAGGGAGTCTGGTCCGTTGCTGCAGAGCTTCACCATCAGAGAGGTATTCGGTTGCTGAGGGAAAACCTATCCCCTTGGACCTTCACCTCAGAGGCCTAGCGCCCTGCCCTACCGACCTTCAAGTACACAATCTTCTCCTTCCACACAGCTGTTCGCCGAACATTTGTAAACCAAACGATGTCCACTCTCCACAGACTCTGCTTGAGGATAAATACTTTTAGCTCCTCATTATTCCACAGATTTCGGGTTCATCATCCTGCTTATCCTCTCCTGGAGTTTACAAACGCCATTCAGAGCGTAAACATCCACCTGCAATCAATTCCACTTCAAAAGCGGATCAAATCAGGGATCTAACACAAGTGAAGGCGGGAGCCTGACACAGCTGTGCCACTCTCCGAGCGACTTGATTTACTGAGCGCCCGCGGGATGATTCCCGGATCCGAGTTTGCACGCCGCCACCCCCCCGCCCCCGCCTGCCGCCGGGTCCCATTCCAGACCTAGTTCTAACTGCGAACACTTCGTAGAACTCCTCCTCCTCAGAGCCTCAGACTCGGCTAAAAGAGGCTTCTGTCGCTGGCGCGAATTACTGTGTTAACACCAAATAAAAGCAGTGTTTGGGAGAATTACCAAGTTCAGGGCGCTGTCATCAGCTGTCCTAAAGAGAGGGACCCGTTTAAAGCCATACTGGAACTTTAGTGCTCGAGCTGGGCTAAGGCACAAGACCAGCACCGGAGCCCCTTGCCTCCCTGCCTGGCGGGGCCTCCCTCTGAAAGAGGGAGGTCCCCGGGGAAGCGGAGTCGGGGACCGGCTGCGGGGGAGGGAGCGGCTCCTCCCAGAGGCACCCTGCTCCGGGCGGGCCTGGGGACCCCGCGGGCCGCAGCGGCGCGGACACCACCCCTTTCCCCGACGGCCACAGCCTGCGTCTCACCGCGAGCCCCGGGGGCGGCCGGACTCACCCTGGGGGCAGGGACGGGAGATTTGAGGGGCCAGACACGGACCAGGCCCCGTTGGACCCTGTCACGGACCCACACACCGGGACAGAACAAAGAACGGAAGTTCTCTCTATTTCGCTTCCGGGTCGGTGCGTTTCACTACCCATCCCATCTCCGTAGCCCCCACGCCCACTTGTTCTCTCTAGGAACACTGGAGGTGTTCGCCTCTCGGTGATTCGCTGACTCCGGGCCTAGGCGGCGCGGCAACCCCGCCAGCCCTGGCGCTCCCGCCCGCCGCCGCGCCCCCTGTTGGCCGGACGGAGCGAAGCGCCGCGTCCCTCGGCTTCAGGGCCACGCACCCGCGCCGCAGACCCGGAGCCGACAGCGGGCGCGGCGGGGGGCCTCGGGCGAGTCTTCGAGGGCGAAGGGGAGCGCACCTTGCCCGAGCGACCCGGGTCTCCAGGCGACCTGCAGCAAAAAGAAAGACTTTTGACAGGTTCATCAATAGAAAAAAAAATTCACCTTTGAAATTTCCAAATGAATCAAGTTTATGCTACAAGAACCAAGTTTTGTCTGTTTCATGCAAAAATGCTCCCTTCAAATTACTAAAATCCGAAGGAAACAGTCCAGCCCATCGGAGTTCCCGCAAGTACAAAACTTGTACAAGCGATGTAACCGATGCATCCGAATAAACCGGGTGAAGCCCGCCTCCCCCGCCAGGAGCCAAATGTGTGAAATGCTTGAGGGGAGGAGGGGGAGGGCTTTGTCGTGGTTCGCTCACTTGTATGGCCTCACAGGAGGAGCCCTGTAGTGTGGAATCCGATCCTTCCAGATCACACAGAGCAGGAAACCTTCCTGAGTGAGGAGGGCATTCCTGGCCCCCCTTCCAGTCCTGCCTCCATCGGATTCCAGCTTCCACTGCATCCAGGACGGGTGGCGCCCACAGCCAGCTCTGTACATGCAATAGACCTCACTCTCTGGTGACAGTTTAAGGACAGTAATTTAAATAACCAATTCCAGTAAAATATGAAAAGTGCTAGGAAAAGGAGACTTTTCACAAGTGTGGCAGGCTCCGGACGGGAAGGGTATGTTACAGGCAGAAGTAATAGCCAGGACAAAGGCCCGGAGGCAGGACAGAACCAAGGCACAACTAACTAAATACAACTTGAGGGTGGCCTGAGCTGGGTGGGTGCCCGACCGGTGTCCAGTCCTTCCAGACCATAGTAAGAATTTGAGCAAACACTTGGCCCAGCCAAGCCACTCAAAAGTCAATAGCCACCTGCACCACCACCAAAACAAAAAAAAACCCTCAGACTTTTTTTTTTTTTTAAATCTCCTCCATTCCTTTTTGCTCCAGGCCAAGAAAAACAGATGAGGAAGGAGGAAGTGGCAAGGAGAGCAGGACAGGATGGAAATGATCTCCTCAAAGCGGGAAAAGCGGGATAGTTTGTTCTGTAAAAGGTCTCCTTAGGAGGATCCAAAGGGAACAGCTCTTAAGACTTCCAGTACCTTCAGTGCAATCAACTCTATTACTCTGGGACACAGAAGTCAACTTGTAGCGCAGGGTTGGTGTTTGGCCCAGAACCCAGCCAGCTGGGTAATTCCCAGCAAGTTCTCAAAAGCCATGCTCTTTTTTTTTTTTTTAATTTTTATTTATTTATGATAGTTACACACACACACACAGAGAGAGAGAGAGAGAGAGAGAGAGAGAGAGAGAGAGGCAGAGACACAGGCAGAGGGAGAAGCAGGCTCCATGCACCAGGAGCCCGATGTGGGATTCAATCCCGGGTCTCCAGGATCTCGCCCTGGGCCAAAGGCAGGCGCCAAACCGCTGCGCCACCCAGGGATCCCAAAAGCCATGCTCTTAATTGTTATTCTTGGGAGTCTGTGGTCTCCGTAGTATCATGAGTCACCAAGGAGATGCTCAAGGCAGTCCAAGGTGGGAAAGAAAGTATCTAAACTTTTGTAAAGCTTTTATTTAAAAGGAAACAAATTGAGTATGAAGTAACCCTTATCAAAAGTCAGTAGAAGGGAGGACACTGGTGGCCTCACTGGGGTCTCATATCAGACTATATAGTCTTCAGGCAAGATATGAGCAGTGAACCTGGCAAGTAGGGATGGGGGGTGGAGAACACAAATACTCTCAGGGTCTGTGTAGATGGCTAGTTTTGAGAGAATCAATTACCAGAACCTTAGATTTTCTATCTGTACATCTTTAAAACTGCTCCCTTGGCAAGGGTGCCCTCCATCATGGCTGTCCTCCCTCCTGATGGAAGACAGGCTATTTATCCCCAAATCTCATAGCAATGTATTGCCCTGGGGTGCCAAAACTTTTGGGGTACCAAACAAAAGAACTCCTTTGAAATATTGCTGACAATAAGGATTAGGTGAACAAATCCTTTGTGATTCAAGTGGTTTCCTATTACCTCCAGTAAAAGGAGAGGAGGACAAAACTATCTGTTGGTAGATCATAGTGTGATTTTGCTATATAAAATCAACATAGTGGGCGCTTGGGTGGCTCAGGGGCTGATAATCTGCCTTTGGCTCAGGTCATGATCCCGGAGTCCTGGGATGGAGTCCCACATTGGGCTCCCCACAGGGAGCCTGCTTCTCCCTCTGCCTGTGTCTCTCATGAATAAATAGTCTTAAAAATAAAATCAACATGACTAGAACTATTCCTTTTCTCACTCATCTTCTCATTATGTGAGCAGGATTTCTCAACATTTCTCAACATTTACGTGTTCAGATTCTTCTTTCTGCTGATAGAATTATGCATGCAGCTCCCACCTGAGGTGGTAAGTCTTATGCCATCTACACTTTTTTTCTCCTGCTAATTCTCTGATTTGACAGGATCCTAAGAAATTTAACTTTAGTGATTTTGGGACCTTGAGATATTCCATTATTTCATAGAAGTAAAACCATAAAGCTCTTAAGGAGACTTAAATTTGTATTTGGATATTTTATGCAGCTTTGTCCAACTCAAGGTCAAAACTTAAGTCTTTTTAGTGCTATTTCCTTTGACTCAGAAAATACTTCACCGATGTATTTAAATTATGAATTTCATTCATCAATATTGTAAAGTAGTCCATAATACCATGTTTGAATAACAAGATGCAATAAAATCACTTCTCATTCTCAAAGAGCTTCCCAATGACCATTCTTTTAGAATATACTTTTCTTTTTTTTTTTTAGATTTTATTTGACAGAGAGCACAACCAGGTGGAGCAGCAGGCATAGGTAGAGGGAGAAGTAGGCTCCCTACTGAGCAAGGAGCCTGATGTGGATGTGGGGCTCAATCCCAGGACCCTGGGACCATGACCTGAGCCAAAGGCAGATGCTTAACCAACTGAGCCACCTGGGTGCCCCTATACCAACTTTTTTTTTTTTTTGTACCAACTTTTCTATCTTTGTTAATCATTGTAGACTCTGGCTCTTTAGACTAAATATATGACAATCAACCTCAGCCAATATTCTTTGTCACAACTCTGGCCAATGTGAGCTCATTTCAGATTGGTCCCTGTGTCATTTCAATATAACCTCATTAAATATGAAAGCCTTTTAGCACAGCAAAATTGCCAGGCTCACCTTATATCTTTTCTGAATATAAAATTGGCTGTTTTTCTAAGAAACACTGGTGCCACATAGCAAGGGAAAAAGAAAAATATGCATATTAGGTTTCATATTATTTCTGGGCACTTGCTCTTGGACAGAAATAAAAAAAGGTAGTTTTTAAAATTTTGATTGTAAAGAAATAATATTGATATGTCAATACAGTTTTACTTAAATTCTCAATTCTACAAGTATACTTCTGTATCCTCTATTGATAAGTCTTCATTAAAAAAAATTTAAAAAAAAATATTTTTTTTCAAAGTAAGCTCTACCCGCAATGTGGGGCTCAGACTCATGACCCTGAGATCAAGAGTCACATGGTCTACTGACTGACCCATCCAGGAGCCTCCATTTCAAACTAAGTAATTATAATGGCTTATTTTCTCTGACATTTAGAGTAAATAGTTCTCAAAGCAACAATCGATTGAGCCACCCAGGTGTTCCTGAAATGAGGGATTTTCTAAGCTTAATATAAGCTTAAAGTTTGTCTTTTTTTTTTTTTAAGATTTTATTCATTTATTCATGAGACCCAGAGAGAGAGAGAGAGGCAGAGACACAGGCAGAGGGAGAAGCAGGCTCCATGCAAGGAGCCCGACATGGGACTCAATCCTGGGACTCCAGGATCACACCCTGGGCAAAAGGCAGGCAGGCGCTAAACCACTGAGCCACCCAGGGATCCCCTCTAGGTCTTTAATGTGATATATTTTAAGGTGTATTAAAATTTATATGGTAAATTTTGTTGTGTATTTTACAATTTAAAAAGTTGAGAAAAGGATGCCTCAATGGCTCAGTGGTTAAGATCTGCCTTTGGCTCAGGTCCTGATCCTGGAGTCCTGGGGTCCTGGGATCGAGTTCCACATCAGGCTTCCCTGCCAGAAGCCTGCTTCTCTCTCTGCCTGTCTCTGCCTCTTTGTGTCTCATGAATAAATAAAATCTTTTTAAAAAAATAAATTTGAGGGCAGCCCAGGTGGCTCAGTGGTTTAGCACTGCCTTCCGCCCAGGGCGTGATCCTGGAGACCTGGGATTGAGTCCCATATCGGGCTCCCTGCATGGAGACTGCTTCTCCCTCTGCCTGTGCCTGTGCCTGTCTCTCTCTGCCTGTGCCTCTCATGATTAAATAGAATCTCTAAAATAAATAAATTAATTAATTAATTAGAATTTCAGATAAACACATCTCCAGACCAAGCCTCAAAGCCTCAAAGCCCCCTGGGAACAATTTCTTCCCAGTCTACCAGGGGTTCTCAACCACTCTCCTGGAGCCAGGCAGGCACTGCCTCCCAACCACAGGTAGGCCTGGGGATTGGAGCAGAGCTCAAGTACACCAGTTTCTCCCATTTCTTGTTGTTCTCTGAAGGTCCCCAGATTTGCACTAGTTGCCTACAGAAGCCCCCTGCTCCACAAGGCACCCATTATTGGTTTTCTTCCGTCCCCTCCCTTCATGATCCCTCATACTTGGCTTGAGTCCTCTCCTTAAACTATCTGCCCTCAAGCCCTTGTCCCAGGCTGCTTTAGGGGAAATCCAAGCTGTTAACCATCGG